CTGATATAAATGGTTGCTGAGAGGATTGAGAGCACAGAGCCATCTGTTGCCTTGCATCATTTAAATGATCTAACAGCTGAGCTGGCAAAACGCGGGAAATGACAGTTCTTTCTGCCCTAAGGGAATTTTCCCAACTCCATCGCTCGGCTTCCTCTCAGCCTTGGAAACTCTTTTATCCAGGGCCTTTTGACGCCTCTGGGCCTCCTCAGTTTTAGAAGCTTTTTGGAAGGAAAGGGCTTTTGTTCGTATTCTGGCAGACACTCCTTTGATGGCCAATTTTGGTGCCGAGGAGCTTTTCTGGGGAATCTGGGGCTCGATTGGGAAGCCCTAGTCCTCCCCACTCACTTCTAGCATTCCTGAAGCCACAGGATCCACCATTCTGAAGTTTTGGTCCTTCTGGGTAAGGCAGGCTTATTCCTAACAGGAACCTTGCTGCTGTGGCTTTTCCCACCAGTATTCACCAGGCGTTAACCATGCAGTGACTTCAGTCCCCTCTGCTGTTTTGCGGGCTCAGTTAGGGACCTGGGCTCTATCTGTTAAGAGCCGGAGCAAGGCGGCTATGCCGGACGGAACGGGAAGCCAGCCGGGACGAAGGTGGCCATACTGGATGGACTGGGGAGCCAGCCAAATGGTTTGGCACAAAGCGGCATTGCTGGATGAACTGGGGAGCCAGCCAAGCCATTCATTGTCTTGCGAAGGCTTACGCGATGCCGACTATCTTACTGTGAGCTGTCAAGAATCCAAGGAATGAACTCTTTTTTGTTCTGAATAGCCTTTTCAAATGTCTCTTCTGAGCAAAGACTGAGTCAAAAATGGGGCACACAAAGAAAAGGAGGCATGACCAAAAGATTGACCGACTCAGTCTCCGGGCAGAAAGGCAGAGTTAACACCCATTCCTTGGATTCTCTACTCAGCACACTGGAGAATGTATTGTCTCAAAGTCTTGGAATCTTCATAATTTTCTCTGTTTAACTAAAAACCAATTCAGGAAATATATGTTCTGAGAAAAGGACTTCTAAAAGCTGAACTGTAGTATATTATAAATCACTTGTTTAAAATGCTTTTTGGTTTGGAGTTATAAAACCAGTATTTAGTATACTCTTTCTCTCTTGACATGATTTTAAAAAAATCTGCATTTATAAGAGGCAATAAGGATATTGTCTTTTCAGTCTTTGCATATATAGTCTTCCTGTAACAGAGCATTGGAACCTACAAAAATACCTCACCATTTGCCATGCAGTAGGAAGAATCTTGATTCTTACCTTTATTTTGGTACAAGGTTTTCTGGTTTAGATTCTTATCTTCTTTTTCAGTAAAAAGTTGCAGGAATGGGAAAGAGCAATTGTATAGAATATTGTTTATAATTCATTACAATGCAATTTTACATAGAGCTACTCTAACATTCCAGTGCATTCAAAAGACTGATTAACAGGTGCTAGAATACAAAATAAAGTTAACTGAACTTGAAGTCCAGTATCTTTTTACTAGTAAACAAATCCCTTAAATTTAGTGGGATTACTTCTGATTATTATCCTATTCAAGTGCTGTAACAGGTTTTTACTTTCAGAGTACTTCTATTTTTAACCCCTTAGGAACTTTAATATACCAAATTGCATATTAAAATTTCATCACCTTGTATTGATTAAAGAGAATAACTACAAATTTTAGCTTATCTTGGATGGTTCTTTTCTTGCTTAATTTGCTATATACACCCATATAAAGATACCAAAGGCCAAATCTAGAATGTCATATCTTCTCCCAGGACTTGGGTAGCAAGGTCACAGCTACTACACTTTGTGTGCACAATTATTAGGCAAGTGTGTATTTTGACCATATCATCGTTTGTATGCATATTTTCCACCTCCACGCTGTATAAACTTAAATGCTTAGTCGATATAAGCAGATCAAGTGCTGTGTATTTGTGTAATGAGGGACGGTATGGCTTAAGGAAATCAACACCTTATATCAAGATGTGCATAATTATTAGGCAGCTTCTTTTCATCAGGCAAAATGGGCCAAAAAATAGATTTAACTGACTCTGAAAAGTCAAAAATTGGAACTCTTTCAGAGGGAGGAATTGCTAAGCTGTTGGGGTATAATCACAGAACCATCAAAAGTTTTGTTGCAAATAGTTAACACGGTTGCAAGAAATATGTTGAGAAAAAAAGCCACACATTAACTGCCAAAGGTTTGAGAAGACTCAAATGTGAAACTATCAGGAACCTACTGTTCTGACCTAGACTTCCTGAGTCATTAAAACACAAGAGTAGTCCCAAAAATCTCTTTTATTGCAACAGCTGTGAATTCTGTTCCTTCACAGATGAGTCCCAATTAGTTATAAAGAGTCCTTTGGGAGACTTCCTTTGGGATAATCACCCACCTTTATCTCCCTTGACACGCTGCCAAAGACCTAATCGGCAAAGCCACAAGGAGTCCAGAATCAAACAGAGCTTCAGGCTTTAAGCTGAACTGAATGAACAAACGTGCCTTTGCTTCTCTTTTAAGTCTTATGGGAGGGCCAATCATCTCCCAGCCCTATTCCCGAGTCGTCCCTTTTGTTTTAGTTGTTCTTGCCTTCTGGCAGCTCTGCGCATGTGCGCGCTAGGAACAGGCTCCCCCTGTTCCTCTGCCTCGCTGAGGTCCGACTCTGGAGGCTTCAGAGGCAGCACACACCTTCCAGATGGCCCTTTCTTTGCCTCTGACGCAAAGCCCTCGTCCAAGCCTTCCCCAGGACTGGCCCATGGTCCTCCCCAGCCTCCTCACCTGTCCGGTTCTGCTGTCAGCTCCACAGGCTGCTGGCGGACCACAACACCCATTATCCTCCAGCGCTGTCATATTCCAGAACTGCAACCTACATGGAGGGTCCAGAAGTACAAGATGCTCAGTGCTCAGAGACATGGCCAAGGTAAGGAAAGCTGAAACCCGTCCACCACTGAACAAGACACATAAGGTAAAACAGCAAGTCTGGGCCAAGAAATATCTTAAGACAGATTCTTCAAATGTTTTTATGAACAGATGAGTTGAGAGTGACTTTTGACAGACTGGATGGATGGGCCCATGACTGGATCAGTAGTGGGCACAGAGCTCCACTTCAACTCAGATGCCAGTAAGGTGGAGGTGGGGTACTGATATGGGCTGGTATTATTAAAGGTGAGCTAGTTGGACCTCTTCAGGTTGAAGATGGACTCAAAATCAACTCCCAAACCTACTGTCAGTTTTTAGAAGACACTTTCTTCAAGCAGTGGTACATCTTTCTGCATCTTTCAAGAAGACCATGATTTTTATAGAGGACAATGTTCCCTTACATGCATCAAAGTACTCCACTGCGTGGCTAGTCAGTAAAGATTTTAAAGATGAAAGAATAATGACATGGCTCCCTTTCTCATCTGACCTAAATCCTATTGAGAACTTGTGGGCCCTTCTTAAATGGGAGATTTACAGTGAAGGAAAACAGCACCTCTCTGAACAGTGTCTGGGAGGCTATGGCTCCTGCTGCACAAAAAGTTGATCATCAACAGATCAAGAAACTGACAGACTCCATGAATGGAAGGCTTATGACTGTTATTAAAAAGAAGGGTGGCTATATTGGTCATGATTTTTTTTAAATGTCAGAAATGTTATTTGTACATTTTGAGTTGTTTATTATTCTCACTTTAACAGATGCTTTAACTTTATTTATTTATTTAACTCACTTTAACGAGATGGGCAAATTTTTGTTTTTCATTTAGTTGCATAATAATTCTGCACACTAATAGTTGCCCAATAACTGTGCACACATAGATATTCTCCTAAGAAAGCCAAAACCTCACTTTTACTTTCTTAAATATTCAGGTTTGAACTTTATTAACATTTTGGACTGACCAAGAGCACTGTAGTTATTCAATAATAAAATTAATCCTCCAAAATACAACTTGTCTAATAATTGTGCACACAGTGTAGTCAGGTATATGATATGATGTGTTAACCAGATATACCATCTGTTTATTCCTGGATATTCTGGTTATCTGGTTCTGGTTATCACCTTTAAAGCGCTCCATGGCTTAGGACCTGGTTATTTACGGGACCGCCTGCTACCACCAATAGCCTCCCACCGGCCAGTACGCTCCCATAGAGAGGGGCTCCTCCGGGTGCCGTCGGCCAAACAATGTCGGCTGTCGGCCCCTAGGGGGAGAGCCTTCTCTGTGGGGGCACCTACGATTTGGAACGAGCTCCCCCCGGAGATACGTAGGATCCCGGATCTGCGCACCTTCTGCCGCGCGCTTAAGACTTTTCTATTTTATCAAGCTGGCCTCGCCTAAATCTTCCCCCTTTTTAAATGTGGAAATTTTAAATTTTAAATTCGTCTTATTTATAGGGTCATGGGTAAGGCGTTTTAAATTGGGGAGCCATTTTGGATTTAATTCTGTTTTAAACGTATTTTAATGTTTATATTGTATGTTTTTTAAATTTTGGCTGTTCACCGCCCCGAGTCCTTCGGGAGAGGGGGCGGTATAAAAATCTAATAAATAAATAAATAAATAGATAACCTAATTGCATATTTGTTGTTCTGTTTGAATTGTCCAGAATTGATTGGAGTTGGGCAGCAACAAATAAATAAATTCCACTAAGTACAATTATCTTACTTATATTTAGTTAGTAGCTATGTTAGCAGTTAGCAGTATCTGGATTCTTGCAAAGATTGGAAGCACTACTTGGCAAAAGAAATTTCCTCAGAACCTGCTACAGCAAATAGAAGCTTCATAATTAACTATTTCCATAGAGGACACAGCACTGCAGACAAAATTAGCCCTTCCATAGATTCTGAAACAATTATTTTCAGACATTAAAGTACTGTATAATTTGTCTACAAGAATATTTGCTGCAATTTTGAGTAATTTAAGCCCTTAAAGAACGAATTAACAACTCTCAAAAAGGTGTTGGTCCTACCTGATACGCCCGTTCTCTCCCGCGGGAGGGAACGGCAGGCAGCGCGGGTAAACTCAGTCAGTAGACCAATCAAGACCGGGTCTGCAATGACGTTTAGCCCCGCCCTTCCTGCTGCTCTCTTCAGTTTATCGGCGAGGTAATCACTGCAGACTGTTGCGTGTCTCCTGCTGATAGAAAGGAAAGGTGAGTACAACCCACCCCACCCCGACACCCGAAGGCGCAGCCCCAATAGGGAGGGGGCTGCCTGCCGTTCCCTCCCGCGGGAGAGAACGGGCGTATCAGGTAGGACCAACGCCCTTTCTCCTCCCTGGTTGGGAACGGCAGGCAGCGCGGGACATACCAAAGCTTGATGTCCAACGGGAGGGCAGTACTCGGGCGAGCCGCAGATCAGGAAACATGGACCCGTTGTAGGACCCGTCTGCCGAACGCCGCATCAGCCGACGCATAGGCATCCAGACGGTAGTGTCTAATAAAAGGTGTCGGGGTAGACCAAGTCGCCGCTTTGCAGACTTCTTCCAAGGACGCTTGAGTAGCCCAAGCTGCGGAGGTGGCTGCACTCCTGGTGGAATGTGCAGTCACCCTATTGGGGACCGCAAGCGACTGTGACTCATAAGAGAAGGCAATTGTGGCCCGGATCCATCGGCCCAAGGTCGGAGCAGAAACCTTGATCCCCATCGTGGTAGGTTGGAACGAGACGAATAAAGCCTCGGTTTTGCGAAAGGAGGCAGAACGAGAAAGGTATATCCGCAAAGCCCTACGGACGTCGAGCTTGTGCCACTGTTCCTCGAGCCGGTGAGACGGGCGAGGGCAAAAATTGGGCAAGGCGATCTCCTGTGATCAATGGTATACAGAATTCACTTTGGGAAGGAACGTGGGGTCCAAACGGAGGACCACCTTGTCGTGATGGAAAACACTTAAGTCTTGTCGGATCGACAAGGCGGCCAGTTCGGAAATGCGACGAGCGGATGTAATCGCCACCAAAAACGAAACTTTAAAGGAGAGAAATTTCAGGGAAGTCGTCCGGAGAGGTTCGAAGGGCGATTGAGTGAGAGAGGACAAGACCTTTGAGAGATCCCAGGTAGGGAAACGGTGAATGACCGGGGGGCTCAAGTTGGAAGCGCCCCGCAGAAATTGGCGGATCAGTGGATCCTTGGTAACAGTTGTCAGAGAAGCACATGCGGAGATGGAAGCCAAGGCCGCTACTTGCCGCCTCAGGGTAGAAGGGGCAAGGCCAGAGTCGAAGCCTTCCTGGAGAAAACCGATGACGTGCTCAACCGAGGGCGAAGTCGGACAAACCTGGCGGGCCGAGCACCATGATGAAAAGGAGCGCCAGGTAGACTCGTAGATACGAGCGGTGGAGGGGCGCCGCGCAGCCTGGATGGTTTTGATGGCGGCAGGGGGGATATTGGCCCTCGTCAAGAATCCCCGCTCAGTCTCCAGGCGGTTAACTGTAGCCACTGGGGCTCTGGGTGGACCAGAGCCCCCTGCAGAAGGCAAATTCACTCGTCCGGTATTCGCCATGGACTGGCCGTGGACAGGGAGACCAGGTCCGAAAACCAGGGCCGGCGAGGCCAATGAGGAGCTATGAGGATCAGCTCCGACTTCTCCTGTAGGAGTTTCCTGAGGACCCTTGCGATGAGAGGCAGGGGGGGGGAAGGCATAAAGAAGCACCCCCCAGGGCCAGGGAGAGCGAAGGGCATCCACCGCCTCTGTTCCTGGGGACGGGAATCTGGAAAGGAAACGAGGGACCTGATGGTTGGAGTGGGAAGCGAACAAGTCAACCTCGGGAAGGCCAAAGCGGTGAGAAAGGTCCAGAAAGAGGTCAGGGTGAAGCTGCCATTCAGAATGGTCCACCCAATTGCGACTAAGAGAATCAGCCTGAACGTTAGACTTGCCAGAAATGTGAGAAGCCGTCAGAGAGGCCAAGTGAGTCTCGGCCCAGAGGCCGAGTTGTAAGGATTCGTGAAAGAGGGATCTAGAGCGGGTGCCACCCTGCCTGTTAACGTGGGCCTTGGCGGAAACATTATCGGTTAACACAAGAACGTGCTTGCCCTGAAGAAGGGGAAGGAAATGACGTAAGGCGAGAAAAATCGCCCGTAATTCCAGAAAATTAATAGAGGAGTCCTTCTCCGCTTCGGTCCAAAGGCCCTGAACCATATGGGAATCTAAGTGCGCCCCCCAGCCGGAAAGGCTCGCATCAGTAGTAAGAACAGACCGATGAGGTTCTCGAAACAGGGTGCCATTGGCAATAGCCGAAGAAGACCACCATTTTAGGGAGTCCAAAACCTTCGAAGGAAGGGAGACTTTGCGCAACGAGGAAACAGATAGAGAACGCTGAAAGGGAAGAAGGAACCATTGGAGGCGCCTGCTATGTAAGCGGGACCAGGGGACGATGTCGAAGGAGGACACCATTTTCCCCAGAAGACGGGAGAGAGCAAGAACAGACATGGGCCGGCCGTCCAGACATTGAGAAGCCAGGTCAGATAAGCTGGCCTGACGAGACAGAGAAAGAAACACCATGGATGACACTGTGTCGATGACAGCCCCTAAATGCTGGAGACGGGTCGAAGGCGTTAGAGAACTCTTGGCCCAATTGATTAGGAAACCATGAGCTTGAAATAAACGGATAGAAGTAGAAACATCCTGCTGAGCCCCGGGAAGGGAGGAGGAAAGGATGAGAATGTCATCCAAGTAAAATAAAATACGAATGGGAAGGGACCGAATATGAGCGACAAGGGTCGCCATCAATTTAGTGAAGACTCTGGGCGCAGAGGAAAGGCCGAAAGAGAGAGCCCTATATTGATAGTGAGAGCCCCTAAAGTAAAAACGGAGAAATTTACGGTGGGGTGGAAAAATGGGGACATGCAAATAGGCCTCGGTCAGGTCGACCGAGGCAAGGAAATCACCTTCACGAATGCACTCCAAGATGGTGTGAAGGGAGTGCATTTTGAACCGGCGGTATTTTATGAACCGGTTCAAAGATTTCAGGTCCAGTATGGCCCGCCAGCCCCCCGAGGATTTGGGGACAAGAAAGAGGCGAGAGTAAAAACCAGACCTGCGTTCTGATGGAGGAACGGGCTCGATGGCTTTAATTTTAAGAAGGTGAGCAACAGCAGCCTCCATACGGGCACGGGAAGGAGGATCATGAGAGAGAGAACAGGGGACGAAAACCCGAGGAGGAGGTGAACTAAACTCCAAACGAAGACCCTCCCGAACAGTAGAACAAACCCAAAGATCAGAGGTAGTGGCGTCCCAGGAACTGGAAAAAAAGGAAAGACGGCCCCCTACCAAGGAGTCTGGAATTCCTTTAACGAGATTTGCGGAAGGGGCGGCCTCTGCCGCCGCGGGGAAACCGTCTCGGGGGGAATCTGGAATGGGATCTGACCTGAAAGTCCTGGTTCTGCATCCCTCTGGAGGGGAAGCTGCGAGAGGAGCGGTTGTAGGAGGTGCTGCTGTCAGATGGACGAAAGGACTGGGCCCGATAATAAGGCTGTTGACGAAAATCCGATCTACGGGAAACAACTGGAAAAACTTTCTTGTGATCTCTGGTTTCCACCAAAATAGGGTCGAGGGCGGAGCCAAAGAGGGACCTACCCTCGTAAGGAGAAGCTGCCAGACGCCATTTACTCCTGGCATCAGCCTGCCAATGGTGGAGCCAGAGGAGCCTCCTGGAGGAGACGGAAGACCCCATGGCCTTGGCTGAAAAGCGAGCCGTGTTGAGGGTGGCGTCAGCTGAAAATTCCATTGCGGCCAGAATTTTATTAATGTCTTGGTGGGAGCGTGTGTCAGAGGCCGGGAGGCGGTCCTGCAGCTGCTTCAACCACAAAATGGATGCCCTGTTGAAGAATGATGCCGCCGAAGCGGTTCTTACCGCCCATGCAGAAGCTTGATGATTTTTGATCAGAGTCCGCTCGGCACGTTTATCCTCAGGACGCAATGACTCCTCAGGAGGACCAGCAAGATGGGAAGAGGAGGCTAAGGCTACAACTGGAGCATCCACAACCGGCACCTGTAACAAGTCAGAAAAGTCAGTAGGAATAGCATAGAACTTTTTGTCCTGAGAATTGGGCAAGGGGCCAGTGCCCGGAGAGGCCCATTGTCTCTTTACCACATCCGTGAATAATTTCGGTGCAGGCAAGGTATCCACTCTGCTAGGTTGTTCTGAAAAGAGAGAAGCAGATGGGTCATCAGAGGAGGAAGCCGCTCCCTGGGAAGTGGGAGCAGGCAACATTTTGGTGACAGATAGGGCCTTAAAGAGCAAGGAGCGGAATAGGTGGGGTTTGAAAAGGCCAACGAAAGCTGGTTGGTCAGGCTCCAGACCCTCATCATCAGGCCATTCTTGGTCCAGGGCAAGGTCCTCAGCGGACAGAGAGGCCTGGCTAGCAGAAGTTGGAGAGCAAGGTCTGTCCAGGTGGGGAGAAGCCTCTCCCCTGTGGGAAAAACCACTGACTTGACTGGCGTAGTCTGCCACCTCCGATTCCGCACGCTGGTTGAGGCCCTCAGAGATCCCCTGGCGTATAGCTGATGATATAAGAGAAGCCAGGGCAGGAGAAATAGAAGAAGGCAAGGATTCCAAGGTAGCAGGGAGGGGAGGTGGTGGAAGGACAGAAGATGGGGGGGCGGAGGGGGGGGAGGAGGGGGGGCTGGCAGACAGAAGAAACAGCAGGCAATGGAGCTTGAATGGTGGATTCATGAGAGAGACCCTCCTGGGGTAGGGTGGCAAACAGAATGGCCACTGCACTGGAAGAGGGAGAAGCCCCCATTTCAAGGCGATCCGGTGAAAGGGAAGATCTGTGCGTGGCCTGGAGCTGAATATGGATATGGGCAGCCTGGGAATTAGCATCCAGAGTAGAGGCCTGAGGGGGTTGAACAACAATCTCCTTGGCGGCCTGCAGCTGCGCTTTCTGAACGGCCCGTTCCAACGCCCTGTGCCTACGCTGTTCATCCTTCTTAAGCTGAGATGATTTATGGGGCTTTTTATGGCTCTTCTGAAGCCCTGAAGTGCCCTCCCCAGGATCGCTGTTATGGCACTTCCTTGGATTACTAGAGACAGTCCCACGGCCAGCTCTGGATGAACGGGAGTCCGCCATTTTGCAAATCAAGTTTTGGCGCGAAGGGGAAAATGGAGGGAAGGCCCCAGTACTCACTGCGCACCACACACGACAAATCAGCGAAAATTCGAAGCACCAGGAGGCTCGCCAAAAGCTGCTAAGCAAAGGCTTGAGAAATAGCAGCGAAAACGTCAGCAAGGGCGAGAGGGGGCGAGCGCGTTGCAGGACAGGGCTCCGGAGCGAACTCGTGGGCCCAGCCTGATAAGGAGCCAGCCGGCAACCTGATTAACGCTAGGAGCCGTCCAGGGAACAGGAGAAGATTCCAAGCCGAAAGGCCTCTCGATCGCCCAGATAGCTCTTAAAAGAGCTGTTTGTTTGTTTTGCTCTTTTTTTTTTTTTTTGAAGAACAGCAGGAGACTAAACCGTCCAGGTCGACCGAGTCGATAAACTGAAGAGAGCAGCAGGAAGGGCGGGGCTAAACGTCATTGCAGACCCGGTCCTGATTGGTCTACTGACTGAGTTTACCCGCGCTGCCTGCCGTTCCCAACCAGGGAGGAGAAGTAAATGTTATAAAGTATCCTTCTAATATACTTCAAATGTTTGTCCAAATTTAGATTAAAATGTTTTTTTAAATTAATTCTTTGAAATAGAAGCATTCTACCTTGCTACTTATATACTATAAGGCAGGGATCCCCAACTACTAGGCCATGGCCCACTACTGGGCCTTGGCCTATTTGGAACTGGGCCATAGAAGTGGCGGGTGAGTGCATGCATAGCTCCATTTGCACAAATAGCAGACGAAAGTGTGCATGTGCTTTCTACCATCTACAAGTTCAATCACTGTGTGTTTTTATGTAACTTGAAAACTCTTTGCATTAAGGTTTCCTAAATCACATATTTTCCTATGGGGACTCCTTTAGGAGAATATTTTTCTATGGAAGCTCCTTTTAAATTGTTATATGAGATTTGAACTCTTTATGCTCTTTGCCACTGAATGTGGTTACTTGAAGCCAAAAAAGAATGTTCAAATTCTTTCCTTTTCTTTTTAAAATAAAGTGAACCACCAGACCCACAGGTCAAGAGTTCAGTTAGCATTTTATTGCTCATACCGTGCCTATAAAACAGAAATCTTTCCAGATTGGAGGTTTGCACCTGGGCTAGACTAGATAAGATTCAGTGGCATTCAAGGGTGATTGGACCTTACCCTCTTTTGCCTATGTAGAGATTCCAGATTAATTCCCTGCTTAACTCCTTTCCTTGGCTCTCCAACATCACATTTGATTATATTTATCACTGTAGGGTTGATCTATCTCCCTAAAACGGAGGTGACTATTCCCTAGCCACATGCCTCAATGTGTCTCAAAGTCTAGGAGGCTGCATTATTGAAATAAGACACAGGTAACTGAAACCTCATCTTTTCTGCCCTCTTAGGTAGATTAGTGAAGAAGATGCCAGGTAAGGCATGCCCCTGGAAGGCAGACAATTAGAATTATCAAGTGATTAGACAAAGATAGGAGACAGAATAGAATGTATAGAGCCAGATGATTGCTAAGGAAGAGTTAAAGACTATGAAGAAATATTATATTCTATTAGTCCCTCTAGCCCAGGGATGTCAAACTTGTGGCATCACGTGATGTATCACAACTTTTTTCTACTTCGCTAAACCGGGGGTGGGCGTGGACAATATCTGATGCATCTGGCCCATGGGCTACAAATTTGACATCCCTGCTCTAGCCTGTCAACCAATGGGCTCAGCTTGACACTGCAAGACTCCGTCCACCCAAAAAAGTATATTAACAACTGAATTTAGAAATCAAATTAAACCTTGTCAACACAGAATCATATCAATAGGTCTTTCTATTTCATCAATAAGGACTGCTGTAATTTAAATGCTAACAGTGAATATATTTCATAAATCCAAATTTTAAAACAGAATGGTAATTTCTTTCCAACCAAGCAAAGTTATATTTTCAGCTAAACTCCAAGCTCATTTCATTTTAGCCTAAACACTTGCATTACAAATATATATATTGTGCTCAAAATATACTATTCCTGACAGACTTTTTTTTTACTGACTGGAAAGATATATGATCCTAATTTGGTTTACATTTACAGAATAAATTTAAACCACACAGATTGCAGAGAAGAGATATATTAAGTTAGCAATCAATAATTGCAAGTTATAATATAAAACTGTGATCTAACTAAATAGAGATATATGACAGATATTTAGGCCCATACTGCTCCTTCTATAATGAAAATAAATGCTCAAATTCTCCAGTGTACACTTAATATAACATAAAATATAGGCATGGACAAAACAGCCAGCACATATTAGACGCAGGCATGTGTTTCCATGTTTAGAAATGAGACAAAATGCAAACCAGCCTACCATGGTGCATACAGACCAAGGTGTACATTGACTTTTTAAA